GGAGGCAGACATTCAGCCCACAGCAGAAAATTATTTTTTTTAATAAATGTAAGCATGACCCAGATAATGATGAAAGAGATTCACATTTACTGAATAACATCCTTGGGTATTAACTCAGGGTAAAAACATTTGATGAGAGTGTGCATTTTCATGCCTCAGTATTTACTTGAGCATATTATTAATAGAAACAGAACTACTAAAAGCCACTTATCTTTGTCACAATTATTCCAAAGCAGAATAAACATAAGTTTTGAGGCCTCTTACTGATTTTGAATTATGATTTCATCACTAAATCAACAACTTCACAACTTCAGTTGATCAATACTGGATGTAGATATTTGTGTGTATGTGTGTATGTATAACCTGATTTCTTCCTCTTTTCATTTTCTCCGTAACTCTGGCACACCAAGCAGTCTCCTCTTTCCATTTAATCTGTCTTCTAACTCTGACTTTCATCTAGTTTACTTTCCAGAATATATCTTACATATAAACATCTTAATTTGAATAATAATCTTTATAGAGCCTAAATATTGCATCTCAGTGTAGGGGCTACTGAATAGGGAATTCTGAGAAGTTGGAATATATGGTATTCTGATCCAACTCTGACCTTAGCTCTCTGAGCAAGTACTAATCTATATGCCTTCCCTTTAGAAGGGTTCGATAAATGGTTTCTCATCCTCTTTGGGCATCACATTATTTATCTGTAAGTGGAAGAGGTTGGAAGGGATGACCTTCCAGGACCCTTCCAACTCTGAATTCTGTGATTATATTCTAAATGTTAGAACAACATGGTGCTTACTGGCATCACCATTAATGAAATTACGCATCATTTATCTTATAAATGAAAAGCACAAACCAATAGCAATACACCAGCCAGGCCTAAAAATGCGAGTGTGGGTTGTATTTTTTTTAATACCCACAACTCATTAATGACACTTGTGATGAATGAAAATATCATATATATATTATCCCTGCTACTCTGGGATGGCCTGGCCTACTATTTTGTTTGGACTGAGATGCAACAAACATGTTGCTCTTCAATGTAGGTCCACCTACTTGATACTTGAAAAGTAGCTGGAAGTAAAAGTTTGTGCTTAAAACCTGATGATAATAGATTTTTTTACTTAAAAAATGTTCTTTCCATATCTCTTTTTCTCTTGTCTGTCTCTTCACTATACTCTTGCCCCATCCGTCACAAAAAAGGTTCCTAAGAGGTTAACTGCAAGATCTTGCTAATATGTATTTCCTCCCATCTAGAAATGCCCATAAAGTTTTCATCTTTATCATCCTTCTTCCTGTCAAAGAGAATGAGGTGTTCTGCCAAAAATGAATCTCTACAAACCCAACCCTACACCTCATTTCCTGTGACTGAAGTTAGGAACCTCATCCAACTCTCCCTTCTTCCTTCATAGTAAAATTCACACATGCATCTCCCATCATCATGAATGATTGTACTGAGGCTCCCCACTGCCCACGCAAGATTCACACCCCTTTCCCCAGACAGAACTCCCCATTCTTAGTTCCAACAGGTGCCAAACTGAACAGAAAAGTTTCTTTGCTTGTTTCTAACTTTCAGAAACAGAACCCTTTGATCAGGTTTCTTCTTATCATTGTCATATAACTTAAATCTTTCTATGCATGCATGTGCCCCCCTCCAAATAAGATAATGAAGAGATTTCAGCCCTTCTCATTTCCAGACTTGCTTCAAATCAGGGTAAGTGGAGTTGGAAATCAAGAGGAAATGGGGGAGCATCACCCTCTCTGAGACATTGCGCTTGGGTGTTCACACCACTGAGATGTGGTTGAGTGTCTCTGCTGTGGCCTGGCCCCCTTGGTGTCACCTCACATGGCGTGTGTGCTCACATATGCTCTGTGCACTCGGCTTCTACATGGCTACCACCTGCTCCAGCAGGGCACGTCCACAAGGGCATCGGCACCCCAGAACGGCTTTTGCCACAGCCCCTCTCCTCTGACCGTCTGCTACTGCATTCCTCAATGTTGATCGACTCCTTCGCAGGGTTCCCTTCCCAAAGCTCTAGGCTTGGTTCTTTTTATTCATTATATGCTCTGTGTATGTGTGTATGCTTATTTTCTTAAGACAGTTCTTTTTTTCTCTTTTTTCAGTTCATTTGAACATTTTTCAACATTTATCCCAGATATTTCTACGCGAAAAACCCTTTAACTTTGCCCTTTCCCTATTTTAATTTGTATCAGTGTAGTCTAGAGATGTGTACCAAATGGAGTTCTAGTCAAGGCAGAAGAGGCCAGAATAATGAAATCTGCACACTTTGCCTCTGACTGACTTTTAGATTGGGGGAAAGTTGTTTAATATGTAGGCTTTGGTTTCCTTTTCTGCAAAATATAAATAAAAACATGAACCTATGTCAATCCTGGGTTTTGGTGAAAATCACTAGAAGAGCTTGAGGAAAACTTACCTAGGAACACAGACTGTTCTACAGCCTGTTGTTATTGTTGTATATTAAAAAGGGGGTGTGTCGGGGACTTTGACTATACCTGAAATACTCAGGCTTACTCATGACGCTGTGCTCAGGGATTACTCCTGACTGTGCTCAGGAGTTCCGCAAAGGATTCAGCACCATCGACCATATCCACATGATAACCAAGCTCATTGAGGTTTCTCGGGAGTTCAAGATGCCGCTCTAACGTTCATTGATTTAAAGAAGGCCTTTGATTCTGTTGAGACGAAAGTGGTCATTGAAATCCTAGCCAATCAGGGCATTCAAGCCCAATACAACAAGATCCTCCGTGAGCTGTATTGCGGATTCACTACCAGGATCTCACCATTCTACAAAGAAGTAATCATTGATTTCAAGAGAGGGGTTTGGCAGGGTGATACCATTTCCCCAAAACTCTTCAGTGCCACCCATGAGAACATCATGAAACGACTGGAATGGGAAGGAATGGGAGTGAAGATAGATGGTCGGCAACTACACCACCTCTGCTTTGCTGATGACATTGTTTTAATAATGCCAAACATCACCCAAGCGGCACAAATGCTGGCCGACTTCGACCATGAGTGTGGAAAGGTAGGACTACAGCTGAATCTTACAAAGACAATGTACGCTATTCAGGTCTCCCAAAGAAGAATTGAAAGAGCTATGCTTGGAATATCATGTTTCACTCAAATGAGAGAAAGAATCCAGAGTTCCGACATCCGTCGACTATCAAGTATCAGGGACACTGTCTCGTTTGCCTAGGTGTCAAAAATCAGATGGGCTGGTCACGTAATGAGATTTAAAGACGACCGCTGGACTAGAGCTGTTACCAACTGGATTCCACGGGATGTCAAAAGACCATGTGGCCGCCCACCTACCAGATGGTCAGACTTCTTCATCAAGATCATGAACAATCGGTTTGAGGCTCTTCATGTTCCTAGAGCGAACAGACGCCATTGGGCTACGCTGGCACGCAACAGGGACAAATGGAGATGTTACTGATGCCTGCTCGAGCAAATCGACTATTAACGGAAGTTAAGTGACTTAAGTGATTAAGTGTGCTCAGGGGACTATATGCCATGCCAGAAATCAAACTAGGGTTGATAACTTGCAAGACAATCACATTATTTCATGTTCTATTTCTCCATACTGTTAAAAAAAACTTAGCAGCAATGGCATAATAAATATTATGCCATATAAAGTGGCATAATATTTCATCAATGCCTCAAGCCTGAAGTTTCTACCCTGGGTTATAACAGGCATTAGGGGAGCATGTTTCCACTCTCCACTCAGACTATTGGTATCTGAGATGTTTTCTTCTAGACTATCTACTGTGAAGATGTACTGTGGCCCCCTAAGTTCCTTTGTAGGCAGATCTACTATCACCCTGCAAGTTGCTGGCAATAAACCAACCTGTGAGTGAGTCTGTCGGTAGGTGTTAGAGTCTGGCTGGTCCTAGAAGTGATTTAGACTAGAGACCTTGTCCTCCAGGATTCACTGAAGTTCTGCAGACTCTGTAGTAGGTGGAGTTGTTCTGAAGATGCTGAATATTAATCAGGAAGGGCTTGCCCTTCCCGAACAGCTTGGCAGTTTCCTGTGTTAGATTTTAAAGTTTTCCTGCCAGAAGATAGCACTGCACTGTAGCACTGTCCTCCCATTGTTCATCAATTTGCTCGAGCGGGCACCAGTAACATCTCCATTGTGATACTTGTTGTTACTGTTTTTGCCAGAAGATATAGAAAATTTTTCTTCACTCTGTATTCTTGAACAAACAAGCAGACTCACAACTTTTGGGTTATGTTAGACAAAATTACATGAGAATATTTTTTAGCACTATTAGTTAGGCTGGGGCTGGAGCGATAGCACAGCGGGTAGGGCGTTTGCCTTGCACGCAGACAACATGGCCGACCTGAGTTCGATTCCTCCGCCCCTCTCAGAGAGCCCGGCAAGCTACTGAGAGTATTCGATATGCCAGACACAGTAACAACAAAGTCTCCAATGGAGACGTTACTGGGCCCGCTCGAGCAAATCGATGATCAACGGGAGGGCCTTTACTTTACTTTTATTAGTTAGGCTAGCAATGCTATCTAACATACCCATAACTAGTGTAAAGTGGATAATATTTAAGTCTGATGCTATGCTATTTTCTTTGCAGAACTATGTATGATCACTTCCTTTTGTTCCCAACCCTCTGCTCCAATCAGCAACATGGTCCCTTTCAGAGCAAATATCAGAACTAGACTAGGTTATCATGCTTGCCAAAATTTTCGGGAAGAGGCATTAACAAATGGCTAAATTATTGCAGCTCATGTCTTCTTCGTGATTCTAAAAATATATCTTAACACTATTCTTTATTGTTAGTATTTGTGATTTCTTGATAAACTCTGAAGTCCTTTTCTTCCAAAGAAAATAAATCATCCCTAGTAGTTGAGGTATTTTTTTTCCTTTTCTCATTTTTAAACCTGAACTTTTCCCCCCTAAGCAGCCACATATAATCACCTGTGTATCTCTGTTTAATAATAGTCTTTCTTTTTCCTGCACTAGGATGGCCGTCTGCGGATAAATGACCAACTGATTTCTGTTAATGGGGAAGCTCTTTTGGGAAAGTCAAACCATGAAGCTATGGAAACACTTAGGCGGTCCATGTCCATGGAAGGAAATATACGAGGCATGATCCAGCTGGTTATTCTGAGGAGACCAGAGAGACAGGCAGAGGTAATGATAATCTTTATTTTTCAGAGCAAATTGCCCAAACCACGACCAGTATTTGCAAACTCACATCACTACTATGGTAGTAAAGACTCATACTTATCCTTAAATTGGAAAAATATGCCCAGAAGGCCTCTCATGGATTTGTGTGGCTAAGAGGTCATTGTATAATTTAGGTATAACTAGGAGGTGTTAAAATGTGCATAGGAAGTAAGTAATTTATCAAATATAAACAGGTCCATGCTTTCTAGTTTTTTTTCCCAGACGTGTAGATTTCTGCAGTATATGTAAAAGACTTTATCATATAAACTAAAGCGTTAAATTTTAGAACATCTTTCTATATTATTTTGGTTGATTGGCTTGCAAACATTTCTTCTCCTTTCAACAAAGGTTGCTCAGTAAGAGAGAAAAATAAAATATTAGTTTTAATAATAATTTAACATAAACAAATATCAAGGTTTTCTAATTCAGTGAGGCTAGAAGGTAGTTGTGACTCATAATGGCTAAAATTAAATTCTGTGACCTTGTATTTTGTGAGTTAAATCTAAAGTTGGCTCTTTCATGGCTATGTACAATGTACAAGTGAGCTAGATGAGTGCTCAGTATGTAGCAGAACTTGCTCGGTACTTATAACTGACAAATGCTGTTGTTTGAGCTTTTTGTTTTGTTTTGTTTTTAAGATCCCACACCTCCCAGTAAGGTCCAGGGATCTGGAGGAAATTCCTGGAGATACTGGACCTAGCTCTCAGACCTGACAGTTTTATTGCTGGGAGGTACTGTGAGCTACCTCAGCTATGTTCAAAGACCAGTAGATCTTTACTTGGCATGCTAGAGGATCCTTGGGGCACTGGAATGAACCAAGGGCCTCATTCATGTCTTGACTGCTCTTTGGCCCCTTGAGCTATCTCCCTGGCCCCCTATTATCTGTTTTATTCCTTAATTGATCTTCATTTCCTGGTACATAGTAGACAATATATGTGAATGAATGAATGAATGAATGAGTGAATGAAAGTTGCATCTGAAAACAGATTTATCAGAGAAAGCAAGCAGAAGCAGTTAATTTATAAACTATATTATATCTTATTACATTATCAGCGATTGGAAAGTAGTAACTGTACCTTTTTACTCCTCTGTACATAACCTTGTAAATGTTAAATAAATGTAAATTGGCCAATTACTGGCGACTATATATAATGAGCCAGCTTGTTTTCAACATTTGTGTCTGCTTAAGTGACAGAGAGGCTTCCATGAATATTTAATAGATTTTACTTATGTACATAGTTATAAAACCTTATCTATTGCAACTCATCACAAGAGAAGGGGTCTTTTCTTGTTTGATTTGGGCTTTTCTCCATAGAACTCAGGTCTTGGATAAGGAGGTTATAGGAGGCTTTTGTACCCCTCACATCATCCCCTCCAAACACTTAGAAGTAGATTTCTTTTATGGTTTTGGAATAAAATCTCTCAACTGATAGACAGTATGGAACACACTGCACTTGAGTTTATACGGTGGCAAATACAAACATTGGGGTATGGGGGAATAAAAATTATTGTGGGCATAATTGTGTTCTATTCTTGGGCTCCACAAGATAAGGTCATATTTTATTTGCATTTTACTTGACTGTAGGTATTTGAGTTCTCACGTTTTAGGATGAACTGATGATCATTCCTTGGGAAGAAAGTCCTAAGCTTGCAGTTCATTGCCCCTGTGTCAGAGGTTTCCTGTTAATAGAGTTCAGTGGAATATCGATTGGGGATATGAAATGGGACAAAAAGCCATTTTTATGAGGACATTTAAACAGGATCCATTTTAAATTTTCCTAGTATTTACCTGATTTCCATGAGAGATGAGTAGACTCTTGATTTTCAGTTATTGAGAATCTTTATGGTACCCATGAAGATTAACGAACATTTCTACTTATAAAGATAGCAGCCTAATGTAAAATTAATCTCTATTAAATTGGAGTGGGGGGCAGGGGATTGGAAGCTTCAACTATTTGATCTCTCATATCTGTTTCACTCTGTCTAAGGATATCTCAAATCTGTTTTACTGTGTCTGTGTTTCCCTGCTCATGTTTTGGATGTATTCTCCTATGGAATAGCAGTCAACCTCGGGAATGATAAAAAAGCATCTGTAACCTAGAAAAAGAGCTCAGTATTGCTAAGAGATTCAAGCAAATCAATTAGTCATATTTGGCAAGAATACCAAAATGGTTACTCAAACATTATATTGGTATAAAAAAAATGAAAAAGCTACTTAAGAAAAGTCAAAATATACAGATGTTGGAGTATTTTCCCACATTACTCAGATGTACAAGATACGTAAACATCTTTGATGAGGACCTGGTGAAGAATACATAATGAGCCCTTGATTGAATCAAAATCATTTTAAACAGAAACATGTTTTTCAAAGGATGAGCTTGGAGTTCAATTGTAATTCTATTTGAGCCTAGAGACTTGGTATTAAAAAATGGGTTATGACCTGTTTTTTTTTCCCCTTCTCTTTCCCAAAACAGCTTCCTCTTGTTGCAAGCTCATCTTGGTAGAAACAGAATATGTTTTAAAATCCATTATATTTTTTATTGGCTGGGACACTAATGGAGGGCTCCATGACAGCTCTATTTTACAGGCTGAATACTTTAATTAGGCTGGTTACTGATCAGTTGTTGTGATATCGATTGTGTCATTTATCAAAGAGTTGGGAAAGCAAAAAAAAAAAAATCTGTTCTTGTAAAATCAGAACATGAGACTCTGCAAGGTAATTCCTACCTCTCATGCCTTCCTAGGCTCCAATTTAACTGAAGAATAGTTTGCTTCAGTTCTAGACTAGTACTTGACTGCTGGTATAGAAGCAAAATATAACACTGGATGTGGGAAAAGTATTGTAAGTCTTGACTTTTTTTAAGCAAAAATTCTAAGACCTTTAGCAGCTGAAAACATCTTAATAGCCTGTGAAGAATGCAGACATTGAATGTTTTAAATATTTTGTTTGACTAGTAGGATTCTGAGTTTTTGTAACTACAGAGGAACTTCTGAGTCAAATGCATGGGTTGAGGTCAAATGCATTTCTCAGAAGGGAAAAGCTTCAGGGATCAAATTTGTGTTATTGCTTGATGCCAGTACCTCTCAAAAATGGTCAAGGGCACAGCATTTCAAATGGCTTCCAAATACTTCTTAAAATATGTTAGGAAGACACATATGAGCAAGAGCAAAACCTCACTCTCAGTACTTCAACCCTCTTGAGTAAATAGCTAGAGCTCTCTTATCCTGTGCCCCCACCTCTTCCGCACCTGTGGAACATGGCTTGTGGGGTGTTATTCTGGATACAGCACTTTTAAGGAAACTGTGAATTTGCTTACAGATTGTTAATATTGGAAATAAGGAGAATAAGAGGGAGAGAGAGAAAAAAAAATCTCAGGAGTTTTACTGTCTGGCATTGTCATCAGTGTTTGTTTTAGCTCCTGGCCAAAAAGAGCCAGTGTCTGCAACTGGGACACACTCGCGGCATTACAGTGGCAAACCTGCTTGGGTTCTGACTTGTCCTGGAGCATATGCACTTAGTCACTGAGGGAAAGAGAGAGGAACCAGCTGGTTGGCAGAGAAACACCCTTGGCATGAACTGTATTCTTGTGTTGACACTGCCACAAGCTGCACTCCCAGATGGAAGAATATTTGAAAGAAGCCAGTTGTAAAAGGGGGAAAGAATAATAAAGCTAATCCTCTTTGGTGTTGGCTATCAGCACTCCTAATCCTTAGCAGCACACTGTCAGTATTTTTTTAATTCATATTCAGAGATATTTGAACTGATAGGGCCATTTTGATTTGCCCCCGCTGGGACTTAAATACAATAGACTCTTGAAAGATTAGTCATAAATCAGTCATTCTTTGAATTGACTTCCATTGGCTGAGTTGGAATGTATTAACACAAAGCAAATGTAATTTTTTATTTTCATTCCTTAGGAACCTACAGAGTGTGGGACCCACTCTAAGCAGTGCTTTGGGAACTGTCAAAGCTCTTTAGCCGCCTCTAGGAGAAATGGTACCAGTCCACCACATAGGTTTCGCCCTTATAGTCCACAAGACAAGAAGGAAGGTAAGAGTCTCTCCATCTTTATCACTACCAGTGATGTGATAAAATGCATGTGTGACATATTTTTGTTAACAAATGGACAAAATGAAGCTAATTAGGGTAAGTGCAGACTTTGTTACTGAGTCATAGAACTGAGAGTTAGGGAAGAACTGACTCAGAAGTTGTGAAGTAGATTCCTGGCATTGCATCGATTGAAGTGACAGATCTATGCTTGCTGCCCCAAACACCGAGGGTTATATATAAAACAAACCATGCCTGGAAAAACAAAATGAAAAACTGTTGCTTTTTTTTAACAGTTTTTTGGTATGTAAGTTACCCAAGTATAAGCACTCAGTAGATTTTTAAAATATACGGACTAGAATTAAACCATAAAGTGATAATAATGATTCACACATGTGTACTTGATTCCAGGATGAGTGTAGTAAATCCTAAAAATGAAAATCATTATATGATGGGTGGAAATGTTCTTGTTTTAGAATTTCAACACTATTATTATTTGGTATCAGTACAGTAGAGCTCGAGATATGAAAACACTTGAATTTCCTTCCTATTTTCACCAGAATTATACTTGGATGACCAAGAAAATCCTTGAATTTTCCTGCATCCCCTTTCTTATAACTATATTACTTTGTATTACAAAAATTATTGAATTAAAAATGTAATCTTTCTCAGACTTCTATCAAAAATACCTATCAACAACATTCATACATATAGCAAGCATTTTCTTTATGCATATATGTGTACATAAATACAACTAAAATTAAATATACCAGATACAATGTTCAAGGGACATTTTTAAATCAGTGCCACATTATGAAACTATTTCTATGTCTTTGAATTTCTGGATAATTATATTAGTGGCATAGTAATCTTCTAAATGGAGATACTGGATATTATGTCAATGTATTCTTCATTTTGGATACTTAAAATGTTATACCAAAATTTACATGGAAACAGGTTTTGTACTTTAAGATTACTTACTGTCAGTCAGATTTATAAATATGAGACTGTTCTAAATTTAGGTTGTTTTACAAAAATGGGATATTTCCTCTTCTGCTTTCCTCCATTTTTCATGAGAGAGTAGTAACAGCTGAGACCATTTATTAAGTATTTACTGTCTATTAGATACTGTTAAGTAATTTATATGTACACTTGAAGTGAATTATGTTATTATCCTCATTTTACAGATGAATAAACAAAGTTAGACAGAGTAAATAACTTACCCAGGTTCCTGTACTTGATCCATGCAAATCCTGAATTCAGTTCTTGTCTTCGTTCCAGTCCCAAGTTCATTTTTTCTCTAAATTTTAATTTATTAAAAGGCCCCCCTCCCGTTGATCGTCGATTTGCTCGAGCGGGCCCAGTAACGTCTCCATTGGAGACTTTGTTGTTACTGTGTCTGGCATATCGAATACTCTCGGTAGCTTGCCGGGCTCTCCGAGAGGGGCGGAGGAATCGAACTCGGGTCGGCCATGTTGGCCGCTTGTAAGGCGAACGCCCTACCCGCTGTGCTATAAAGTTATTTATAGTTGAGTTTTTCACATGTAATGTTCCATCACCAATCTTGTGACCAGTGTCAACTTCACTTTGTTCCCAGTTTCCCTCTGCAACTCCCAACCCTTGTCTGCCATCTTGACAGGCACCATTTTAAGTTTGATTATTGAAGTTTTTTTTAATTTATTTTTTATTAGTGAAACACCATGAGGTACAGTTGTAGATTTACAAATTTTTGTGCTTCAGTTTCGGTCATACCATGATCAAATACCCATCCCTCTACCAGTGCCCATTTTCCACCACCATGGATAATATCCCTCCCTCCCCACCCCCCCCATCCCCCCCTGCCACTGTGGCAGGGCATTCCCTTTTGTTCTCTCTCTCCTTTGGGGTGTTGTGGTCAGCAAAAGAGGCATTGAGTGGCAAACATGTTCAGTCCAGTCTACTTTCAACCTGCATCTCCCCTCCTGGGAGGATCCTCCAAACACCCTCCATTTGGTGCTTCCTTCTCTATCTGAACTGTCCTTTCCCCTAGAATACCCGGCTGGCCTCTAAGCTATGGAGTAATCCTCCTGGTATTGATCTCAGCTATTCTTGGGTATTAATCTCATATTTTGTTATTTTATATCCCCCAGATGAATGCAATCTTTCTATGTCTATCCCTCTTTTTCCAACTCATTTCGCTTAGCATGATACTTTCCATATTGTACCACTTGTATGTAAATTTCATGACTTCATCTTTTCTAAGAGCTACATAGTACTCCATTGTGTAGATATACCAAAGTTTCTTTCTCTTTTTTTTTCCTTTTTTTTTTCCCTTTATTGTATTTTTTTTTTTAAGTTGTAGATTTACAATTTTTTGTGCTTTGGTTTCAATTATACAATGATCAGATACCCATCCCTCCACCAGTGCCCATTTTCCACCACCATGGATAATATCCCTCCCACCCCCATCCCCCCATCCCCCCTGTCTCTGTGGCAGGGCAATCCCCTGTGTTCTCTCTCTCCTTTTGGGTGTTGTGGTCTGCAAAAGAGGCATTGAGTGGCAAACATGTTCAGTCCATAGTCTACTTTCGACATGCATCTCCCCTCCTGGGAGGATCCTCCAAACATCCTTTATTTGGTGCTCCCTTCTCTATCTGAACTGCCCTTTCCTCTAGGATACCCGGCTGGCCTCTAAGTTATGAAGTAATCCTCCTGGTGCTGATCTCAGCTATTCTTGGGTATTAATCTCTTACTTTGTTACTTTATATCCCCCAGATGAATGCAATCTTTCTATGTCTATCCCTCTCTTTCTGACTCATTTCGCTTAGCATGATACTTTCCATATTGTACCACTTGTATGTAAATTTCATGACTTCATCTTTTCTAAGAGCTACATAGTACTCCATTGTGTAGATGTACCAAAGTTTCTTTAACCAGTCATCTGTTCTTGGGCACTCAGGTTTCTTCCAGTTTCTGGCTACTGTAAAGAGTGCTGCAATGAACAAACAAGTGCAGATGTCACTTAGACTACACTTTTTTGCCTCTCTGGGATATATTCCCAAGAGTGGTATCGCTGGGTCAAATGGGAGCTCAATTTCTAATTTTTTGAGGAATGTCCATACTGTTTTCCGAAAGGGCTGAACCAGTCGGCATTCCCACCAACAGTGAAGGAGTGTCCCTTTCTTGCTACATCCGCGCCAGCAATGGTTGCTTTTGTTGTTTTGAATGTGGGCCAGTCTCTGAGGTGTGAGATGGTATCTCATTGTGGTTTTGATCTGCATCTCCCTGATGATTAATGATGTAGAGCATTTTCTCATGTGCTTTTTTGCCATTCGGATTTCTTCTTTGAGAAAGTTTCTGTTCATTTCATTGCCCCATTTTTTGATGGGGTTGGATGTTTTCTTCTTGTGGAGTTCAACCAGTATTTTGTATATCCTTGATATCAACCCCTTGTCAGATGTGTATTCGGCCAATATTCTTTCCCATTCTGTAGGCTGTCTTTATATTTTGGTCACTGTTTCTTTGGAGGTGCAGAAGCTTCTTAGTTTAAGATAGTCCCATTTATCTATCTCTGTTTTCACTTGCTCGGCCAGTGGCGTGGCATCTTTGAAAATACCATTAGCCTCAATGTCATGGAGGGTTTTGCCAACTTTGTCTTCAATGTACCTTATGATTTCTGGTCTGATGTTGAGGTCTTTAATCCATTTTGATCTTACCTTTGTACATGGTGTTGGGCAGAGTTCTGAGCCCATTTTTTTTTTTTTGCATGTAGCTGTCCAGTGATGCCAGCACAATTTGTTAAAGAGGCTTTCCTTACTCCACTTCACATTTCTTGCACCTTTATCAAAGATTAGATGATCATATGATTGAGGGGAGATGTCAGTGTATTCAACTCTGTTCCATTGGTCTGAAGTTCTGCCTTTGTTCCAGTACCATGCTGTTTTGATTATTACCGCTTTGTAGTAAAGTCTGAAGTTAGGGAGGTTGATTCCTCCCATTTTCTTTTTCCCAAGAATTGCTTTAGCTATTCGTGGGGGCTTATTGTTCCATATAAATTTCAGGAGTGTTTGTTCCATTTCTTTGAAGAATGTCATGGGTATCCTTATAGGGATTGCATTGAATTTATACAATACTTTCAGTGGTATTGCCATTTTGACAATGTTAAGTCTCCCGACCCATGAGCAGGGGATATCTTTCCATTTCCTCATGTCCTCTTTTATTTCCTGAAGTAGCGTTTTGTAGTTTTCTTTGTATAGGTCCTTTACTTCCTTAGTTAAGCTGATTCCTAGGTACTTGATTTTCTGGGGCACAATTGTGAACGGGATTGATTTTTTCATGTAGCTTTCCTCTCTCTCACAGTGGCGAATAGGAAAGCCATGGACTTTTGGGTATTGATTATGTAGCCTGCAACTTTACTATACAAGTCTATTGTTTCTAGGAGGTTTTGGTGGAGGTTATTGGGTTCTCTAAGTATTTAAGTTTGAGTCTCATGACTTCAGTATTGTTGACTCTGTAGTTTGGACATTTAGCTTTATTATTCACTAACACCACCAGTTTACCTTAACCTTGATCTCTGTTGTTTCTCATCTGTCTCTTTTCTCCATCCCCTATCTTCCACTCATTATCTTTCATTCTCCCTATTCATTCTTTATACTATGGCACATGTAACATCTCACATTGCCCTCTAGAAACTATTAAAGTCCTATTACCTGATATTAAAAGTGTCCCTGAGAAGGTGACTTTATTATTGTATCCAGAAAAAAAGTATGCCTTTCATCAATTTCTTAAATTAAGATTTTCTCTTTTTTTTATTGTTGTTTGTTTTGAGACTGCACTTAGCAGTGCTCAGAACTTACTCCTGGCTCTGTACTCAGGAATTAATTCTGGCAAGTTCAGGATTGATATGAGATCTGGGGCATTTAACCTGGGCCCACCTAGTAAAAAACAAATGTGCCACCCGTTCTACTAACTGTACGGACCCCAAATTAATATTTTCTTGACAGAAATGTATGATATCTAATTTAAATCATAGTGTCTAGTTTAGGGATGGAGCTATAGCACGGTGGTAAGGTGTTTGCCTTGCGTGCAGTGGACCCAGTCGACCTGGGTTCAATTCCTCCACCCCTTTCGGAGAGCCTGGTAAGCTACTGAGAGTATCCTGCCCACACAGTAAAGCCTGGCAAGCTACCTTTGACATATTAGATATGCCAAACACAGTAACAAGTCTCACAATGGAGACATTACTGGACCCGCTCGAGCAAATCGATGAACAATGGGAGGACAGTGCTACAGAGGAGTGCTACAGAGTCATCTAGGTGAAGGAATAGGAAGCTTTCTACAAGGAGAATCCACTCCTTTTCTGCTTTGCTCATATTATGAGCATGAACACTGGTGTTTGTCTTAAAATGTCTAAGTTTTTATTATCTATTTTATTGGCATTTAATGTTAAGTAGCATGTGGTCCACTTATAATCCTAGAGTTTAATTCCTAATATCAACAGTGATGTCTAAAAGAAATTATACATGGTATCTCTATCTTCTTTAATGTGTAATACCTATATTTCTGAATAAGTAAATTGTAATACCTATGATGCTGATGCGATAGCACAGCAGTTAGGGCATTTGCCTTGCATGTGGCTAACCTGGGTTTAATTCCTCCACCCCTCTTGGAGAGCCCAACAAGCTACCAAGAGTATCCCACCCACATGGCAAAGCCTGGCAAGCTACCCATGACGTATTTGATATGCCAAAAACAGTAACAACAAGTCTCGCAAAGGAGACGTTACTGGTGCCTGCTCAAACAAATTGATGAACAATGGGAGGACAGTGCTACAGTGCATGATGCTGATGATTACATGAAGTATTTTTAGAGGTCTTGTTGATAACTTGAGGAAATCAGATGACATGTTTACGGAGGATAGCAAAGGGTAGATAATGAAACTGTTCAACTAAAGTGCAAAGATACATTGGAAAATTGTTAAATATGACAGTCCATTCCAAACACACGCCTAAAATAAAATGCAATATAAAGTCTTGGAACCTCAGTAGAATGTTCAGTTTGTGTTTCCAGTGAATAGTTGTTGGGCATGGAGGTTTGCAGGAATCAGAGGGAGTTTCCAACTTCCCTGTTCCTCCTGACATATATGTTTGGGTAGGACACCAATAAAATAACCCTGAGGATCAGCTATCTAAAGGTTCTTGTTATGCTTCTCCCAAGGTGGCATTAAAAAATCCAGTTCCTTCAAGAAGTCACATAACTAAATATTCTTAAATGCAGAAAAGTTCTATAGTTATTTCCTTGCGGATCTGTGTTGTGCTAGCCAGTTTTAAGAAATGATTCTGTCAGTATATACATTCATTAAATTTTAATAGTAATAGGCTAGTAGATGAAATTCTCTGACATTTCATATAATCCTAGAGCTTAGAGACTATACATACAATATACATATATAAATAGAATTTATAAACATCATGTCCCTTACCTCTTTATAATACTAATAGCATTTAAAATGTTGAGGGCCACTGAGACTTTCTGAGATTTTTTAGATGTGTCTGAGATGGCTTGGAAAAAACAAGATTAACTTCACAAAACGCAATTTTTAGTGAGGAAAGAAACTTTTGGAGGCAAAATATTCACTTATTTTCTTCTCTTTATGGTTTTTCTTTGTGTAGTTAAAAACTGTAGACTAATATGCTATGTTCCATCTATTTTTGTAATAATAGTGTGTCCACCAAAAACTCTCTGGTTATCACATACATACATACACACACACACACACACACACACACACACACACACATACACACTTCTGTCAAGCTATTACACAGAAGAGGTGTTTTAGGACTAACATTTTTCAAAATTGTAACATCAAAATTTCGTGTTCGGGTTTGTAGTATTTCTTGCTAGAGGATTCCTGCAGTGGAATAAGTGTAGTGCTCCCTGATAATGATAAGGATAAAGGTGTTTCCCATGAGTTTCTTTAAAGTTCTATTATATATTTGAATGGTAATGAAGGGCTCTACCATCATATTTTCCTCAGGTATTGTGCTAGTAGATCTCACTTCAGACCAAGAAATAACCTGCACTCTGCTGGCCTTTGATTCCTGACATTCCTGTCATTTCTCTCAACCCCCTACTCAGTTCTCTGTTCCTACTTCCTCTCACCTTTGAGCTCAGAGCTTCCTGACCTCTGCCTTGGTCACCGGTTACCTCTGCCTCCAATTTGGATCACCTACTGAGGATGTTTCCTGCCTTTCATCCCTTCCCCAAATCTCACATTTTGGTTCTTTGTCCTGTGCCCATGAATGAATGAATCCAGGGTCCTTGGAGAAGACTTAATAGTGTGTAATTATTCTTAATGTATCTTCTTCTGGGAACTAGTATTTATCCCCTGCTCTCTAGTAGATAAGGCACTCCCTCTGAGTGGTGATCAGAAATTGGATTATACTTTTCAATTTGACTGATGTTTATTGGATGCCTCCATTGTGTTGGGAACATTATCAGGGATGCGAGGATGAATGCTACATTGTGAGTGCCCTCAAGAATATTTTAAAGCAGGGGTCAGTGACTTTGTCTGCTGAGAGTTAGATAGTACACATCTTATGCTTTGCTGACAGTAAGATCTCCATTGCAGCTCTTTAGCTCTGCTGATGTATTACACACGGAGCCAGACACTATACAGAGGAATGGAAATGGTTGTGTTCTGTTACACCTCATGTGCTCAGCCAGCTGGCAATCCTTTGGAATCAGGACTGTAGCTTGCCCGCTCTATATGAAGTTATAATTGCTAAGTCTTTCTTTATGATCTGTCTTTGATTATCAAGAAATAGTGATGGGAGGCTGACTGCCTAGTTGTTCATGACTCTTCCTGACCCCTGGGGCAGAGTTGAGTTTAGAGCAAGTCTTGGCCTGATCTGTCAGTTAGGTTTCTCCTGAAAAACAGGAACAATAAGAATTGGCTTCCATGATTAGGAACATAGGCAAGCCCCAAGATCTGTATGGTGAGATGGTGGCAATGTGAAGCCCTAGGGAAAGGAAAAGCTCAGGTAGTGAAGCAGGAAGAATTTTCCCTTATGTAGAAGAGGGTCAGCTTTTTTGTTTTATTCAAGCCTTCAAGTGACTGGAAGAAAACTACCCATGTTAAAGAGAGCAATGATCGGTGTTAATATCTCCTAAAATCAACCTCACAAAAACACCCAAAATAATATGCACCAGAGTACCTGGGAACCCTGTGGCCCTGACAAGTTGACACATAAGCTTCACCATTAAGCTTACAGGTTGGCAGATCAAGGCAGATACTGTTGCCAGTTGCATTTCTCAGGAGACAAAGACTTGTCTTTAATACAAGCAGTCAGGAACAAGTATTCCAATGCAACAGACCCATGGTGGATTTTATAATTTATAAGTTAATAATGATCTTTTCACTAGGTAACCCATTGCATTTATGTTACTGCACCATCTTATAAAATCATTGTACTCATCCATTGAAATTATCCTTATTCATATTTTATATATTTAGAACTCATGGTTAATGAACACTGAGTTGTTTGCCCAAGTTCTCAAATTTACAGGAACCATGATTGGAAACAGCAGACTTGCTCCAAAACCCATCCCCTTTATCAGGGTGCCATTAATGCTTTTCAAGCAAGTAGCAAATATGATGATTGCTTATGCACACTAACTTAAAGTCTAGTATATAAGTTCTCAGCAAAACTCATCATATGTTCTAGTGATAGTCAGGATGCAATGTCTTTTTTTTCTACTGTAGACTGACAGAGTGCAGGCTTTAAGTTGGTAAAAAGTCTGGGACTTAGATCTCTATCTTTTACTTCAAAGATGTCTAATTTAGGTATTTTGATTATAGCACTGTAGCACTGTCCTCCCATTGTTCATCGATTTGCTCAAGCAGGCCCAGTAATGTCTCCATTGTGAGACTTATTGTTACTGTGTTTGGCATATCTAATACGTCACAGGTAGCTTGCCAGGCTTTGCCATTCGGGCAAGGTACTCTGGGTAGCTTGCCAGGCTCTCCGAGAGGGCCGGAGGAATTGAACCAGGGTTGGCCGTCTGGCCGTGTGCAGGGCAAATGCCCTGCCGCTGTGCTATCGCTCGAGCATCAATACAAAATTACCCTTTGGGATGCCTAAATGTGAATAGAGATATGATGTGTCTCATGAGCTTCCCAAATACCTACTTGTCACTGAGGCAGAAATTTAAATCACCACATAACACAGTGTTCATTAGTGCTTTGCTCACAAAAATGTTAAGGCATGAAAGAGATGACTTCATTACTCTCCCACAAATCACAGGTAATGACTATGTGTCTGTCTACCCTAGTTACAAAAAGGTAGTCAAGATGCATGGACTTGACTTGCCCCAGGGGCTGCCAGCTGGTCACCAGCGTATAAAGCATATCAGGAAGCTTAGATTGCTCCTAGAAGCTGTGTTAGCTCCCATCCAAATCCTTCAGTTCAGTATAAGAACTCATTTGTTTCTAGGTTGCTTTATGAGTGGGTAAAAAATGTGTCTAAGAGATGCACTGGTGTAAAACCAAGCACTGAAAGTTTCTACCTTTAGTTTACTATAGCTTCACTAATTAATGTATTCTTTTAATAGAGTCATTATTTTTCACTGATGGATGGTCTGAGAGTGAAGTACCCCCTTCTCCACCACCACATCCCATTTTGGAACTGGGCCTTGAAGATTACAACCACAGGTATCGATAAAGTGATAGATTGTTAATGTTCCTTATTATGGTTTTACTGGGAAAACATAGCAACCTTATTTTAACTCTATTTCTTTCTACAATGAAAGCCTCATAGTAACTGTAATATCTTTTCGTGGAAAGCTCTCATAGCTAATAGCCTAATTTTTCATATTTTGTTGCATAGATTTGTTAAAATTCATTATAATTTTTCTTAAAATATTTATGATAGGATTATTTTTTGGTATTTTTAAAACCAGGCTTAAAAATCAGCACTGTAGAATTTGAAGAAAGTTATATGGAAAGATATAAAATAAAATTGAGAAGACATAAAGCTTAGTTTGTTTCTTTCACTTGTAATTGGCAAACCCTAAAGGCATTTTAAAAATAGATGTTCCAAGAAAGTTAATGGAATCTAAAAATTAAAGCAACACCATATATAATCTAAAATATTGAAAAGTGTACCCGATATTATATACATTTTTGAAATAGAAGCCCAAAAATCAATAATTTTTAGAATCATATAAGCATGAGAGAGATTTACTAAGCATACACACCATTTGACTAGTGGAATTCATGGATTTTGTTCTTCTGATGAGTTTTAAAAATCATTAAATTGTCCCTTTGCTATTTTCTGTATTTATTATGGTTGTTAAAAACTGTGTATTTTATTCCATTCTGTGTCCCATGATAATCCTGTGAAATTTTTTTCATTTTTCTTGCAGCAATGCTGGTGTCTTTCCTATTATGCTTTTTATCACAATCTCCTAAAAATAAAGCAACATGAGAGTATAGCTAACTCTATTAGCTGGAAGCTTATCTATATATAGCTATCTCTGATTCCTTTATTTTTTTAAGTCAGCTACCTTACTCAAATATGATTTCATGAACTAGATTGATAATCGTGTTACAGACTTATATCTCTAGGGATTTCTTGAAAGAAATAGTGGACATATTTCATTTTGATCATTCATTTCCATTGTCTGCATCAATCTTGAATCAGAAAATATACTTTGGTGGAATGAAAAATCAGTTTAACAATATTGTTATTCTTTCTATATTACTACTTACCTTTGTGTATATATGTGTGTGTATAATTATGCAAAATTCTTGGGGTAATATAAAGGTGAATGCATGAGGAATACATTCTTTAGAGGTACAAATCCAAGCTCTTTGAAAATTGAAAACCTGAGGCACCACCTCAGAAAAAAGAAGGCACAGGAGAATCTAAATGCCAGGATAAGAATTGGTCGGGAGCATCAAGAGTTCTAAAGTGCAAGCTTTCTCCCTGACACTGTCCTCCCGTTGTTCATCAATTTACTCGAGCGGGCCCAGTGACAACACCCAGATTAACTTTCTGTAGACAGCGAAATCCTGGGCAAGACAACTTGGAGAAGTTGTCTATAACCTTCCAAAAGTTTTTCTCTTCTTTTTCCCCTCTTGAGAAGTTTGTGTTCTCTCTTGAACATGTATCTGTCTTTTTCTCTCTTCCCATATATTTCTCTAAATTTCTTTCAAGATAAAAACATTATAATAAAGGCCCTCCCGTTGATCATCGATTTGCTCGAGCGGGCCCAGTAACGTCTCCATTGGAGACTTTGTTGTTACTGTGTCTGGCATATCGAATACGTCACAGGGAGCTTGCCAGGCTCTGCCCTGCAGGCGAGATACATTATACTTCACTTAAAAATAAATACCCACATGTAAACCCTACTCTCAAGATAGTGATGGACTGTTAAGTGAAAGTGATGAGTACAATACAAGATACAAAGTGATACTTACCAGAAAATATAGATACAAATGATTTAGACATCTGAGGCAGAAGAAAATGCTTTCAGATACAGAAATTCGGAAAGGTGTCATGGGAGAAAGATGACATTTGAGCTTAACCTTAAAATATCAATAAGAGGAGCTGGAGCGATAGTACAGCAATACTATCTGATATACATATATATATATATGCAATGATATATATATATATATTTATCACTGTCACTGTCCTCCCAGTGTTCATCAATTTGCTCCAGCGGGCCCAGTAATATCTCCATTGTGACAATTGTTACTGTGTTTGGCATATCGAATACGTCACGGGTAGCTTGCAAGGCTTTGCCGTGCGGGCAAGATACTCTCAGTAGCTTGCCGGGATCTGGGAGAGGGGCAGAGGAATCGAACTCAGGTCAGCCATATGGGCTGCGTGCAAGGCAAACACCCTACCTGCTGTGCTATTGCTCCAGCCCATATATATATATATATATATATATATATATATATATATGTATACGTATATATGTATATATGTATATATATGTGTATATATATGTATATATATGTATACATATGGAAAATAAGGTGTTTTATACAACTTATATGAAAAATAAGGTGTTTTATACAACTTCTATCATAATTGATTCACCAGATTACAAAGTCAAAGGATATATTTCATTCCAAAGATAGTAAAATCTTATTGTTGGGTTTACTCAGATTTTAACATATGTACAGTTTATTGACATGCTTTAATGGAAAAAAAGGACAATAATCAATTGATAAGATCAACTCTCTGGATAGATAATTGTAGTCAAGGGACTTTTTTATGAACACATATAAAACAAAACTGAAAACCATAAAGTTCAGATTATTTTTTTCATTTATAATTGGCAAGCCCAATTTTTGCTGGGGGGATAAGCTTTCATCTGAGAAACCTTCAGGAGGAAGAAGGAGTTCAGAGATCCTACACATAAAGATGTATTGGGAATTAGCAGCTACCCTTTTTCATATGTGTATAAGACTCGTTGCTCCCAAGACCAAAGTTCCAGTGCCATCCCACTGCCAAAGAACCTGCTACTCTTCTTCATCGACTTCTGTTTTGACTGCGTCAATTTTTCCATGAATTTCTTCCCTTTCCCCTTCAGTAAAGCTCATTGCTCCCTGATCATGAGGGGAGGTGGAATTGCTTTTATTGGTCCTCCTGGCTATATCTATTCATTAGGTGAGATAATATGAACAAGTACCTTCCATTGCCTTGTCACTTTCTAGCTCCCTCGCTCCTTGAGTTTAAGCCCCTGTTCTGACCAATTTACTAGAAATTCACTCTTAAACATTTTAAATAGCAATCTTTCAATCAGAAGGATGGAAGTTTTTCTCAAGACTCAAGTTTCCTTATTAGCTTCTCAAATTTGATTATTACCATTTATTCATCCATTCACTTAAGTATTTATAAAGTGCTGAGTCAGTCACTGGAAGTCACTGCAGCCTTGGAAAGCATTTCAACAAAAAATAGTCAGTGGCTTTGCTGCCAAAAGTGCACTGTCTTCCTGAGGAGAAAGGAGCATGAGTCATGAGGGACCTCCTTCTGAGCTGTCACTGTCACTGTCCTCCTATTGTTCATCGATTTGCTCGAGCGGGCCCAGTAATATCTCCACTGTGGACTTGTTGTTACTGAGTTTGGCATATCGAATACGTCACGGGTAGCTCGCCAGGCTTTGCTGTGCTGGTGAGATACTCTCGATAGCTTGCTAGCCTCTTCAAGAGGGGCAGAGGAATTAAACCCAGGTCGGTCGGGTTGGCCGCATGCAAGGCAAACGCCTTACCAATCAGCCATAAAATGCTTTTGGATCCAGGAGAATGAGGCTTTAACTCGGCCTGCAGGTAACCAGAAAGGTAATAATAAAGCAGAGATAGGATTTTCAAAAGTTTCTTGGAGTCCTGGAAGGAATTCACTATAAGTGAGAGTAATGGGACAGAAAAGTTAACTCATAAAAGTCAAACACTAGGAGAGGGGAAATACAGAGCTTGATCAGTGTACCAAAAGTGTTTTCTGGAGGAAGAATCAATGGGAAGGACATTGGCTGCTGTGTTCACTGAGCTCCATTCTTTGTTAGCACCATAATTGATCAGATAGCAGTGGACAGTCAATGAAGGATTTTAAGCCTGGGGGAGGAGGGCAAGGGGTGACAGTATTAAGCTTAGTTGTAGAGCGTGGAATAGATTGGGGATCCATAGAGGGGGTCACGGGCATTGATAAGGAAAACAGCCCAGTGTAGATTAGGTGGCATAAGAGAAAGGTTTGAAGGAAGGAAGAGGAGCTTAGCTGGGGAGAAAGCAATAGAGTCAAAAAGATGTTTTGAGATGGAAGCTACAAATCTAATGCCTTAGAACTCTCTCCCTCCTGGGATCCTGGGATCTTCACCAACCTGCAAACTGCTGTGTTGCCTAGGTGACTAGCAGGAGCAGGTTTGGATGTGTGACACTTCAGTTGGAGGAGACATTGGAAGGGAGCCAGGAGGGCTGAGCAAGGAGGCCGGCCTGTCTTTCCAAAAGAAAAGTCAGAAGCCCTCTGAAAGGACAAGTGGTGCTCTGAAGATAGAGTACGTGTAGTGACACAGAAAACTGCTATTCCACAAGGAGCAAAAGACAAATCTGATCAAATGGACATCTGGACTTTGTACTAAAAGGAAATCAGGAATTTATAGAATTTATTTGTAGGAGTTTGTCAACAGTTGCTAGGAAAAAGTTAAATATTTGTGTAAATAATAAATAAATAGCAAGAAATTTAATTTCTGCAATAATATCCCAGGTAGAATTTAAGCCAAATTAGTAGCAAGCAATACAATGAATATTGAAGTACAATAAATTTTATTAGCAGCTTAGACAGCACTAGGTTATTTCCAATTCCTTCATCATTGTGCTCCTTGATTTTTCCCTGTGTTCTCTGATTCTCTCTCTTGCATTCTTCCCCTTCCTTTTCTCATTGTTCTAGTCTTTTCTGGCCAGTTCCTCGCTTCCTCTCTCTCTCTCCACCTCTCCTTCACATACATGATACATTAGCTGCATCCACTTTCCTTCATAGTAGTCAATTTTTGGAGCCTGTAGTGGACACTGCAGCTTCAGACATAATGCTTTTTGGCATGCTCCTCAAAATTTTTCCCTGCCTTTTCATTTCAGACAGCTCTCCTTGAACATTCATTGTTGGCTCTTATATATCATTCACATTCCTGATTTGTCACCACATTCAG